TAACTTGCTCTTTTTTCTCCTGTATGTCCTAAAAACTAGAATTGACTATAAAGGTTTGATCTATATACTTAGTCTATAGTGTGGTCAATAATTTTTTTTTTTAATCCTCACCCGAGGACATTTTTTTATTTTTTGTTCAGATAGAGTGGGAAGGAGAGAGAGGAACAGAGAAAGAGAGAGAGAGAGAGAGAGAGAGAGAGAGAGATCGATGTGAAAGGGACACAATGAGTGGCTGCCTCCTGCACAACCCAACCAGGGCCGGGGACAAACTGCAACTGAGGTACGTGCCCTTAGTGGGAACCGAACCCAGGACTCTCCGGACCGCACGCCGACGCTTTAACCGCTGAGCCAAAATGGCCAGGGCTGGTCAAGAATTTTTCAAAGGAAGTGCTGTGTGTTTCCTATTGCCAAGAGATTTTTTTTTAAGATAGGAAAAATAATAGTATGTTTATATGCTGATGGGCATGATCTTTGAGAGAGATATCTATTGATGCAGAAGAAAAAAGAGGAAATTTTCTATAAGAATGTCCTTAAGTAGATAAGAGTTCATAGGATCAAGTAGACAAATTTTGGATAAGTGTTGGATGCATCTAAGTCATCCCTAGGAACAAGAGATCATTTGGGCATAAATGCAGGTAGTGTGAGTAGCTGGGTATAAAGGCATGTGTATGCAAATTCTATTCTGGGAGCTTCTTTTTCTCCACGAATAAGGGGAAGGTGAGGATGAGGCGAGTTATCATGGCAGGGGTATCAGATAATCCCCTAAGAGAGTGACAGATGAATTGACTAAAAACGTAGCACATAATTGCTGGAAAGCATTAAGAAGCTACCTGCACATTGCAACTATGAACTTGAAGTGAAATCAGTAAGCATGAGAGTGTGATTTTCTCTAGCCATGTTCAGCTACATATTTACATGTGTGAAGTAGGACAGAGAATTGGATTTAACCATTATTGGGGTTTATCCAACAATGTGTGATGAGAGAGCTCAACTGAACAACTGACCATGGAATTTAAGCTGGTGGGAAGGGGAGAAAGGATATAAAGGAAGTGAGAGATAAAGAGAAGGTGGTAGGGTCAACCACGTCCAATTGTTGGAGTTGGGTATTAGTTGGACTCAGCTGCAAAGATAGAAGTGGTGATTACAGAGGGTATGACTGAAATCAAGACTATGAAGGGGGGTATATTTTTTGTAAATGACAAGATCAGAGATATGACCTTGGGAGTGAGTGGCTGAGGTCATAATCATTGGAGTAGAGGAGATCAAAGAACTGAGAGACAAGGGGACTAGAATGACTCTGTAGGTGGATGTTAATATCACCATGAGTTATGACAAATAGTGTTGGAGAGAATGATCCAAGAGCTAAAATATTCAAGAACCTGGGTGGAGGAGAAGAGCCTGGCTAGACACAGGAGATAAATCTTGAAGGAGCTCTCAGTCTAGTTGGGGCAGACCTGCAAACAAATGTATATGTCATGTAGCCTGATGAGAGCCAGACACAACAGGGAAGTTGTGTCAATCTCTGTGGGGTCAAGAAAGGGTTCAGAGTCCAAATGACACTTGAGCTGGTGTGGGAGGCTTAATGGGTGTGCTCCCATGGAGACATGGTAGGAAAGGACATTTTATTTGGAAGGAACTTTACGTGCAGGGCTACAAAGGCATGAAAGAGTATGGGACACGTGGAGTGCCACAGTTGAGTTACTGTGGGGAAATTACTCATCTTCCCTGTCTCAGTTTCCTGTTTTGTAAAATGGGGATAGTATTGGTATCCACAGAGTAGGTGATGGTAAGAAGTGATCTATATAATATTTGTCATGGGCCCTATTGTAATCCTTTGGGCGTGTTCTTACTTGACTATTGAAAAAAATCCTATGAGATAGGTTCTGTTTTTATTAGTTCTGTTTTACAGAGAAAGAAGTTGAGTGCTAGGGGGTTGAGTAACTTGCCCAACATCATGTAACTGGTGAGAGGCAAGAGTTTGGACTCTTGGTCATATCAGTCAAATTGTAGGGCTCTTACTCAACTCCTAAGCTATAGTCAACCCCTAAGCTACTAGCACTTAGCTAGTACGAAATAAATGGTAGCCATTGTCACAATTACTAAAGTTTCTCACCCCTCAAATTGATGATTTTGTCACTTGCAGCTGGTTGAAGATCACCCCTACTATCTAATGAGTAGCAGTGACTATTTTTGGAGGGCCCTCATTTTCTACAATAGATTCAGATTGACAATCGCACTACTTTTGTTTCAACTGTTTGATTTTTGGAAACCAAGAGTGGGGAGAGATTTTTATCTCTTAGAAGATCAGTTGTTCTGAGCAGATGCAGTTGATGTGAGGGAGGAAGATCTGGGTTCACTGTACTCCTCTGATATCTGTGCACTGAACCCGGACAAAAGTCTCACACCCCAGCAGTTCACCTCTTGGGGGGATGGCAGCAAATCAGTGTTCACAGGAAAGAGGCATCATCCAAAGGGCAGATGACTGCCCCCAGTGTTCCCTGGGAGGCTGCTGAGAAAGAACCTTTGCCATTTATGGTGCCTGAGGAAACAGAACTCTTAAGAGCTGGCAACCCTTGATTGATCGATCGATTGATTGATTGATTCATTCATTCACTTAACAAATTGTTATTAAATGCCTACTATGTGCCAAACACTCATTTGGGCACTGAAGATAGTAGTGAAGAAAGCTGATGAGGTTTCTGCTTATGAAATTTACATATTTTGTAGGAGAAAACAAAGGTAACCAAATAATAATATGAATATATATCATTACAAACTCTCATGCCACAAAGAAAATTTACATGACATAAAAAGAGGGCTAGCTATCAGAAATATTTTCTGACTCTTCAAGGAAGCTGCTGGGGAGTCACTTCTTCCCTGAATTCATGAGGATAGCCCTGAAATTTTTGACAAAGGACAGACTGGCACCTCTAAGTTTGACCCTGTGAGTCATGCGCAGGGCCTGCCTGCCTGTTTTCTGGTCATGAAAAGTTGAAAATCCCCTAGCTTGAACCCCAGGCCTTCAGGGAAGGATTTCCTCCTACTTTGTGGAATGAAGCCAGTTTGTGGCCAGTGCAGCTTCTTATTAGTTCTGTTAGTGCTGCATCTCCCAGGATAGGCTTCAAGGCCAGTTCAATATTGTATATCAAATTGATACACAAGGTTGAAGTGTATGTTCAATGTTGTTCCTAGTAGTTTCTGTTTTCAAACTATAAGAGAACACTTTCTAGAAAATCACAGAGGTAGAAGAAGTAATTTGTTGAAGAATTGGGCTGAGGAAACAAGTTATAGAGGCAAAAGAAGGGCCCTTGGAGCTAGGGAATGAGGAAGGTAATGGTAATGCGCCTGGGGGTAGGGGGAGAAGGAAGGGAAAGTCCCCAGCATGCTCCTCGAAGGGAGAGCACCATCCCCAATAATTTCACTTTAATTACTCAACTAACATAATAAGAATAAAGGAAGTCAAACTGAAAGATGAGAATTCATTTCTTATTTGCTCATCAACAGTTGTCAAGTCTCGACCATGTACATTTTTTCTAGGTATTTGGATGTGCGTAACTTTTTTAAAAAAATATGTTTTTATTGATTTTTTCAGAGCGAAGAAGGGAGAGAGAAACATTGATGTGAGAGAGAAACATCAATTGGCTGCCTCCTGCACGCCCCCTACTGGGATCAAGCCCACAACCCAGACATGTGCCCTGATCCGGAATTGAACTGGGACCATTTAAATAATTTTAAAATTGAAAACTATTGGTTTTTTTTGCATGTACTTATTGCTTTATAAAACTCATTCTTTATTCCATTAATCCTCTTCAGTCCTCAACACACTATGTAAAGTAGGGAATCATTTTACACGTGAAGAAACCAAAATATATAATTTTTTTCTTCTTTGAATTATTTATTGTTTTATTTCTTGGAAGTTGGATAATAGTCATGAGTTCTTAATTCTGTGGCCTGATTACCTAAAAAGGTTAAATCCATTTTTACTGTTTTCTGGAAATATACCAATTTCATTACAGTCTGTCCAGAAATGAGTATTATCATTTTGAAAATGGCTACGTAATGTAAATTCTTGTATATCTTAAAATTCCAGTTACCTCTTTTGGTTTAATGTTAATCATAATTTCAGATGCTTGTTAATTGTACTTTCTATTTTGGATTTATTTGCTTGCTCATGTTGATTGCCTGTTTGAGAGGCTTTTATTGTATTAACCCTTTGCCTACCTTGACTCTTGTTTTTCTTTTTATTGCATAGAAGTTGGGATTAACATGCAACTGACTCTATTAAACTTTTCCTTATTATTTTTCTACATTCCATCAGAAGAAAGAAAGCGCTGACAAATATAGAATTGTGTTTTAGGCTTTTAAAAATTATATTTTTATAATATTTTCCAACTCTAAGAGTAATGCATCCTTTTTAGAAATTTGGAATATACAAAAAAAAATATTAAAAATGAAACCACATTACTCTATCATCCATGGTGTTTCTTTTTCTTTCTCTTTCTCACATGCATGTTTGAAAAAATATATTTTTCTGTATTTGGATAGTATGTACTGCTTATAACCCATTTTTATATTAACATTCTATGATTAAACTTTCATATTTTATTAAATACTCTTTGATAATAAATAATTATAAAAAATCTGTCTAGAGTCTATTTTGCGATTAACTGACTCCTCTCTCCCTCAAGTTCCTATATATATGTCCCCAAACCAATGACTAAACAATCCCTTCTTCCTAGATTTATCTGTGGTATCTGCTTTATCTTTCTAGCATGTTCTTATCTATAAGGTCTATTTCTAGACTGTCTGTGCTGTTCATGGACCCAGGACACTGCACAGGTCTCTTTTTCCAAACCCTTGGGGCTTTCTGGATTGAGCCCTAGCCTAGGCCAGGGCCCACACTGGAGGCTAGCACAAGTTACATCTTGTTAATTTTTAACCCTGCCCTTGTTTTTCTTATTGGAAAACAGCTCTTATTTCCTTTTTTATTGCCTATGCAGATGGTTTCTCCTCATCCTGAGAATAATGAGCCTTGGCTGCCAGCCCCAATAAAGCAAGTGTCCCTCCCATGAAGAATAGTGCTGGGTCCTGAAGACATGGAGGCCCTGTAGCCCCAGGGGGATTAACCAGAGCAGGTAAGAAACACCTGGAAGCAGCACAGGGGAACACCCCTGAATAAAAATGGTGTCGCAGCGTGTGTGGACAGGTGTCGCAGCGTTTCAGTGTCTGGCTGCAGCTTTGCTGTTTCCTTCATGCATTTTTGTTTTGTTTTAAGTTGGTTCACTGAGGGGTGGGGATAGTTCGTTTGTCTATTTCTATACCCTGTAATACAAGATTTGAAGTTATTCTGTAAATCAGCCCCCTTTTTCGAACGCCACTATGTGCCATGTCCTGCATCTGATGTACAGGCAACGGTGGGTAGACTGGGGCCGGAGGTGGGATCCTCAGTTTGGCTGGGATTTTCTTCCTGTTGGTTCAGTGTTGACTTGTTCTCTGTGATAACATGAGTTGTTATTGTATTCTTCCAGAAGTCTGATGGGGATCGTAAGGATTCATTGGTACGGTTGGTTCCCTTTGTTCAATAATCCTTTACTGAGTGCTCCCTTTTTTCTAGCACTGTACTGGGCACTGGAGTTTCAGAAATAAGCCAGGAGGCAGAATAGTCTAAAAGGGAAGTGGGCTCCCCTGGAGGTAGAAGCAGAAGGTCATGCTGCCCGATTGCCAGACAAATGGACTAGGGAAGAAATTGCAGCAGTGTAAAGGCCTGGAAGCTTAAGGAATCAGACTGGGGTATGATGGGAAAATTCAGCACTTGGTGTATTTTCCCAAAGAATATGGGGAGACAAAAAGTTGCTACTTCTTTCCTTCAATTTGGGCTGCTGAGATGAAACTTCTTCAGTCCCTGTCTCTAGAGCAGCTTGAGAGACGAGAAAAGGTCTTGAAGCTTGAAGTGCTTATGAGACGCTCCAGCCAGCTGGTGGATGTGGGGCCTCAACCGAGGGTGGTGTTCAAGGGAGTTGGGAGGGTTCAGGTGAGTGCCTTGAGGCCAGGATGGGGCACAGATGCTAAAGGCGGGGGCTGTCTTAAAGTTGCAGGACTGCGTTGTGCCTGGCTGTTTGGCTGACCTCCTGTTCCCCGGGAAACTCAACCTTGGAGAGTGGGTGCTGGCAAAAAGCTGAACACTAGTCCCTTCTGAGCCTCTGCTCTCCAGGCAGTGGGTCAGGTCCGTCTCCCAACTCCACTCTTTCCAAATCACTCATGCAATTCAAAAATTATTTTGATTAAAAAGTCTCAGTTTCTTCAGCTATAAATGGTGCTAATAAAAATGTGCCTCCTTATCTCACAGGCTCTGCTGGGTCTCATAAGTGTAATGACTGTGGAAGGGCTGCCTGAGTGGCAAACTGTACACACAGGTCAAGGCTGCTCTAGTGCTGATGGTAAGGGTGGTTTTTCTGTGATTGTCCGGCAGATTGAGATGTCTCTCTAGCGATCCTGATTTCTGAATCCAGTTTGGTCAACACTGACTTTTCACTGTCTTCTATCACTGACACCTGTCAAAGATCATGAACCTTTAGAATCAGAGAGACCTGGGTTGGAATCCTGGTTCTATACTGATTAGCTACAGACTTTGGAGAAGCCCTGTAACCTTGCTAACCTCTAGGTTCTTTATTTCCTTAAATGGGGTATTTAATATCTACCCCATAGTGTTATAGTAAAAGATGTATGAGAGATTGCAGGTAAAGTGCCGACTTTCTCTTCTTCTCTAGTTCTTTTTTGGCTGTCATAGTCATGACATTAGCTGTGTTGGATGGCTGAAGAAATTGAGTTTCTTAGTTTTCCGAGAATACAACAAGCCTTTTTCCTCATTTTTTGATTTCAAGTTTGAATTCTCCCTCTGTGTACATTTCATCACTTTCAAAACCCAAGGCAGGAACCCATCGTCCCCAGTGCCACTGGTTCCTGAGGTCTGGGGTGGTGGGAAGTGCTGCTTGGTTGGTACTGCCAGTGGATTCCAAGAATGGTCTGGACATCAATGAAATTAGAGTCTCAGATGAAGGACCTGAAGCTCAGATTCATGAATGATGGCCAGCACTCCACTCTGGCATTGTTCACTGTCCCGTGTCACCACTACATGGCTCTTACGCCGGGGGGGCTGCTCTCTGGTCTCTGTTCAGAACAACTCCTGTGTCTTTACATTTACACAGTTCAAAGCCCAATAATACCACCCTTGTTTGGTCCTCCCAGCACTTCGTAAATGAGATAAGGAAGAGATGATTACAGAAACTTCGGGGTAGAGAGGTTAAATGACTTATCCAGTCACCAAGAATGGGAATGAGAACCCAGGTTTCCTGAATACCCTACCACCTTGTCCCTAGTATCCTTAGGAGCAGGCTCCATGGGAAGGAACTGGAGATCCCTAGCAGGTTAACAAAAGCCTGGGAGTGGTTCCTTACACTCATTATAGTAAATAAACCCATTTATTTAGGAAAGAGCTTAACATTTTTCAAAAGACACAGACATTGTTTGATGTCAAAGTGCTTTCATCTTCCATTCAGTTACACAATAAATTCTGGGTAAACAAAGTAGTTCTTTACCTAGATATGAAAGGGACTATTCATGCTTTATTTTCTTAGTCAAATTTATTTTCTAGAATTTTCAGCCGTTCTGTACAGGATGTAGTGTAAAGGACATGGATTATGGAATCAAGTGTACTTGCATTTGAACCTCAGTGCTGCCACTTGCTCAGCACTGTGATCCTAGGCACTTCTCTAGCTAATCTATAAACTGGAGAATAGAATACCATGGCTAGTGATGGTCAGGGCTCTCCACAGCTCAGGAGATGTTCCTTCCTACGAGACTGTCATATACATGGTGCCTGCTGGAGTTGTATATCACAGTGACCCTGGTTTATGATGACATTAAATGAAATCACATCTTGTGTGCTTAATTCATCTTTGTTTTCATTTCTTGAATTGGTCACTTGTCTGCTATCTTACCAAGATTTCCTGTCCTTTACCATGAGGTAAGCCAGCTCCCCAACACTTGACAGCACTCTCATGAGAGCCACTCCATAAAACTGAATGCTGCGTCTGGAGCTTCCCTTGCTGTCCTCACCCAGGAATCCAATGCCACCTAGAGAGATGCATCACAAAGTTGTGACATTGCCTATGGCAAGAGATCTCTGTCTAGCAATTTTAAAAGGATTCTGGCCCCTTTATGATTTTGGGAGTTTGGGTTCTTATGATGCAGACCAGTTAGCTTGCTCTTCCTTTTCTTCTAGTTTTTCAAGCATGCATGACTTCATTTAACAGATAGTATAAGGCCCTAAGGACTGAATGATGTGTGAGATGTGATTCCTGACCTCAGGAAGCTCAGAGTGCAGTTGGAAAGCTAGACTAAGACAAGAGGAAACTAAGGTTCAAAGTGTGAAAAGGAATCGCAGAGAGCACAGGCAGAGAGGGAATGTCTGAGAACTGTTCTCTATATTCGAAACCCAAACTGAGAGTGACATTTTATTTATTTTTTCATTTCGTTTCATTTCATTTCATTTCATTTCATTTCATTTCATTTCATTTCATTTCATTTCATTTCATTTCATTTCATTGTTTCATAAGAGCTGCAGACCTGGTGGAATTCAAATCTTGTTACTCTAAATCCATTGCTCTGTCCATTACCCTGCCTCTATCTTGCCAGTCACACTTGTAGATTTTCTTTCCATAAATTTTTGCCTTGTCTTTCTTTTTTTAGGCTTGTCTTCCGCTCACAACAGAGTGGCTCCCTTGAATGCATCTTTCATTATGATTCACACCAACTTGAAGAAAAAATTCAGCTGCTGTGTGCTGGCCTTTCTCCTGTTTGCAGTCATCTGTATATGGAAGGAGAAGAAGAAAGGGAGTTACTATGATTTCCTTAAAATACAAACCAAGGAATTCCGGGTGATGAGGAGTCTGGAGAAACTTACCATGGGGTCTGGGTCCCAGTCTGCAATTTCCAGCAGCACCCAGGACCTCCACAAGGGCAGCCAGACCCTCAGCAGTCCTAAAGACCCATCCAAGACCAAACTAGAGCCCTTCTTCCAGGTGTGGAACAAAGACAGCTCTTCTAAAAACCTTATCCCCAGGCTGCGGAAGATCTGGAGGAATTATCTGAGCATGAACAAATACAATGTGTCCTACAAGGGGCCAGGTCCTGGTGTCAAGTTCAGTGCAGAGGCCCTGTGCTGTCACCTTCGGGACCAAGTGAACGTATCCATGGTAGAGACCACAGATTTTCCCTTCAATACCTCTGAATGGGAGGGTTACCTGCCCAAGGAGAGCATTAGGACCAAGGCTGGGCCATGGGGCAGGTGTGCTGTCGTCTCATCAGCGGGATCTCTGAAGTCTTCTCAACTGGGCAAAGAAATAGGTGGGTTCTGTAGTGTTAAGACTGTTATCTGAACGCGAGATTGCTACCTCATCTTGAGTAGCTGAGCATACAGACAAGACTGGAGACTGTGGAAAGTCTCTGTGGACTAGCAGAGGAAGCCAAAGTCAGTGTTTTGCAATTGCCTGTGAGCCAGAGGTGCCTCAGTGGCAGCTAAAAGGATGGGGGTCGAGTCTCCCAGCATCTTTACCAGTTAGAATAGCTTTATTTTTATCTGTTTTAAATATTACTATTCTGAAAGTTTTATTTGAAAGGAGAGTTCTACTGATACAAAGAAGCAAAATGCTATAATTGACATTTAAAAATAATTGAAGGACAGATCTCTATCTTCAGGTTCTGAAATTTGGAGCTTTTCTCTTTTGGCCACAACTGCCTGGGTAATTTTAAGCTTTTCTGTTGGAAAAGAATGAATTAAAACAGGAATTATTTCTTTCCTAGTACCCACCTGGCACCATACCCAGTTATTACAATATTATTGACTGTATCCCCTATGCTGTACTTTACATCCCATGACTGTTTTGTAACTACTACTTTTTGCTTCTTAATCCCTTTGCCTTTTTTATCCAGGTCCCTAACCCCATCCCATCTGGAAACCCTCAGTTTGTTCTCTGTATTTATGAGTCTGTTTCTGCTTTGTTTGTTTGTTTATTCTGTTCTTTAGATTTCACATATAACTGAGATCATAATGTATTTGTCTTTCTCTGTCTGAGTTATTTCACTTAGAGGGTATATTTCAATACCCTCTAGGTCGATCCATGTTGTCATAAATGATAAGATTTCTTTCTTTTTTTTTAATGACCAAGTAATATTCCACTGTATATATGTGCCACTTCTTTATCCAGTTATCTATTGATGGGCACTTAGGCTGCTTCCATATCTTGGCTACTATAAATAATGCTGCATTGAATGTAGGGGTGCATATACTTTTCAAATTAGTGTTTTGGATTTCTTTGTATAAATACTTAGAAGTATAATTTCTGGGTCATAAGGTAGTTCTATTTTTAAGGACCTTATATACTGTTTTCCATAGTGGCTGCACCAATTTGCAGTCTCACCAACAGTGCATGAGGGTTCCCTTTTCTCCATATTTTTGCCACCACTTACTGATTATTGGTTTATTGATAATAGCCATTCTGACAGGTGTGAAATTATATCTCATTGTGGTTTTAATTTGCATTTCTCTGATGATTATTGATGTTTAGCATCTTTTCATATGTGTATGGGGCCACCTATATGTCTTCTTAGGAGGAATGTCTAGTCATGTCCTCTGCCCATGTTCTTTTTTTTTTTTATTATTTAATTTTGTTACAGATGTTTCTCCTTTTCCCCCCCACTGCTTCCCCCCTCCCCCTCCCTCCCTGTCCTGTCCCCAGCTTTGTTGTCCATGTCCATTGTTCATGCATACATGCATATAAGTCTGTGGTTTATCTCTCCCCCACTAACCCCTCTTCTGGGGATTGTCAGTCTGTACCCCACTTCCATGTCTCTGGGACTACCCCCTTCCTCAGACTGTTATGTTCATTATATTCCACAAATAAGTGAGATCATATGATACTTGTCTTTCTCTGTTTGGCTTATTTCGCTTAGGATAATGCTTTCCAGGTCCCTCCATGTAGTCTCAAAGGATAAGAGATCTTTCTTTCTTACAGCTGCATAGTATTCCATTGTGTATATGTACCACCGCTTTTTTATCCATTCGTCTAATGATGGACACTTGGGCTGTTTCCAGATCTTAGCTATTGTAAATAGTGCTGCTACAAACATGGGGGTACATATATTCTTTCTGATTGGTGTTTCAGGCTTCTTAGGGTATATTCCTAGAAGTGGGATCACTGGGTCAAATGGAAGTTCAATTTTTAATTTTTTGAGGTAACACCATAGTGTTTTCCATAGTGGCTGCACCCTCGCCAACACTTGTTGTTTGATGATTTGTTGATGGTGGCCATTCTGACAGGTGTGAGGTGATACCTCATTGTTGTTTTAATTTGCATCTCTCTAATGATTAGTGATGTTGAGCATTTCTTCATATATCTCTTAGCCATTTGTATATCCTGTTTGGAGAGGTGTCTATTTAGTTCCTCTGCCCATTTTTTAATTGGGTTCTTTGTCTTCCTTTTGTTGAGTTGTATGAGCACTGTGTATATATTGGAAATTAATCCCTTATCTGATATATCATAGGCAATTATGCTCTCCCATACAGTAGATAGCCTTTCTGTTTTGATGATTGTATCTTTCGCTGTGCAGAAGCTTTTGAATTTGATGTAGTCCCATGTGTTCATTTTCTCCTTTGTTTCTATTGCCTTAGGTGATGTATCAGTGAAAATTCTGCTGCGTATAATGTCTGAAATTTTGTTGCCTGCAGTTTCTTCTAGGATTTTTATGGATTCATGAGTCACATTTAAGTCTTTTATCCATTTTGAGTTTATTCTTGTGTAGGGTGTAAGTTGATGGTCTAGTTTCATTTTTATGCATGTAGCTGTCCAATTTTCCCAACACCATTTTTTTTTTTTTTTTATGAATTTTTATTTAATTATTTATTTTTTTGTTACAGATATTTTACCTTTTTACCCCATTGGCACCCCCCACCCCACCCCCCCTCCACCCTGTCCCCGGCTTAGTTGTCCATGTCCATTGGTCATGCATACATGCATATAAGTTCTGTGGTTTATCTCTTCCCACCCCCCCCACCCCCCATCCCCTCTTCTGAGGGATGTCAGTCTGTGCCCTACTTCCATGTGTCTGGGTCTACTGTATTCCTCAGACTGTTATGTTCATTATATTCCGTATATAAGTGAGATCATGTGGTATTTGTCTTTTTCTGCTTGGCTTCTTTCACCGACACCATTTGTTAAAGAGGCTGTCCTTACTCCACTTTGGTATGCTCTTGTCACCTTTGTCAAATATTAATTGAGCGTATTGCCTTGCTCTGCCCATTTTCTAATGGGTTGGTTTGTTTGTTTGTTTTTGGTGTTAAGTTGTATGACTTCCTTATGTATTTTGGATATTAACTCCTTATTGGATGTATCATTTGCAAATACCTTCTCCCAATCAGTAGCTTGTCTTTGTGTTTTTTTTTTGATGGTTTCCTTTGTTGTGCAAAACCTTTTTAGTTTGATGTAGATCCATTTGTTTATTTAGTTTTTTTTTTGTTTGTTTCCCTTGCCTGAGGAGATATATCAAAAAAAAAAAAAAATACTAAGAGCAATATCAGAGAGTTTACTGTCTATGTTTTTTTCTAAGATTTTTATGGTTTCAGGTCTTACATTTAGGTCATTAATTCATTTTGAGTTTACTCTTGTGTATGGTGTAAGAAGGTGTCCTAATTTTATTTTTTCCCATGTATTTGTCCAGTTTTCCCAACATCATTTGTTGAATAGACTGTCTTTACCCCATTGTATATTCTTGCCTCCTTTGTCATAGATTAACTGACCATAAAGGTGTGGGTTTATTTCTGGGCTGTTTATTCTGTTCCATTGATTTACATGTCTGTTTTTATGCCAATACTATGCTGTTTTTATTACTATGGCCTTGAAGTATAGTTTGATATCAGGTAGTGTGATACTACCAACTTTGTTCTTCTTTCTCAAGATTGCTGTGGCTGTTCAGGGTCTTTTGTGGTTCCATATAAATTTTAGAATTATTTGTTCTAGTTCTGTGAAAAAATGCCATTGGTATTTTGATAGAAATTCCATTGAATCTATGGATTGCTTTGGGTGGTATGGAAGTTTTATGGATGTTAGTTCTTCCTATTCATGAGCATGGTATATGCTTACATTTATTTGTATCTTCAATTTTTTTCTTCAATGTCTTATAATTTTTTTGAGTACAAGTCTTTTACCTTCTTGGTTAAATTAATTTCCAGGTTTTTTTTTTTAGATGTAATTGTGAATGGGATTGTTTTCCTAATATCTCTTTCTGATAGTTCATTATTGGTGTATAAAAACGCAACCAATTTCTGAATATTTATTTTGTATCCTGTGGCTTTACTGAATCCATTTATCAGTTTTAGTAGTTTTTCAGTGGAATCATTAAGGTTCTTTTTATATAGTTCCATGTCATCTGCTAATAATGACAGGAATTTTTAATTTGAGTACTGTGGAGTACCTTCAGCGGGTTCATGAATCCCTAAAATTGCGTGCAAAATATCTGTGGATAAGGTATGTATAATGTGTGTGTATATGTGTACGTTGATGTGTGCATTTTTCTAGAAAGAACATCCAGGGCTTTCAGTTGATTCTCAGAGGGGTATGCGATCCCCAAAGAGGATTAAAGTCACTGGTCAGAATATACAAATTTGCTTTTCTCGACATCCTTTATAGTTGATAAAGATACAAAGTCTATCCATCCTGTAAACATGTACAACACAGAGCTGCAGGTTTGCTTAAGACTCTGTAGTTCCCTTATTTTGAGAGAATGTGTTTTCCATTATTATGAAATGAATCAGGCTAAAGAAAGCAAAGCACAGGAAGGATTGCTGTTGGTCAGTCTCTGGAAGGTACTGGAGCAGGTGAGGTCATATGTCTCCTTTTTAATTTCTTGCATAAGACTGCCAGGAAAAATGGTCTGAAACCAAGTACAGGCTCTCAAAAGAAGAAAAGTAGACCCACATTGGATTCTCTGGAGCAGGAAAAAAGTGATGAGATCAGATTTTGTACCTCCACCAATAGGCAGCACTTACTGTATAATAAACGCTGCCAAGATAACCAGCCTCACCTCTGCTTTTGCTTTTTTGGTTTCTTTTGGACTGCGTTTTCTAGAAACTACTTGTGATTGATTTTGTTCATCCATAATGGAACTCAATTTCTTTCTTTCTTCCCCATTTTTGCTCTATCGTGGTAATATTTAGAACATTCTAGGTGTTAGCGGATCTTCTTCTTCATGGCAAATTATCAGTGTCTGCCTGGCTGGGATTGTGTTGAAGTTGAAGGCAGAGTCTGATACTTTCATGAATTGGAAATATGCTATTTATTTTTATGCACTCC